CTTTGCTCATTGAGAAAAACAAAATTAAAAGTGACTATTAACTCTAAGTGCACAACATTGTGAGCAGATCATGAGTTTCTTACTCTCCCCTCCCACTGCTTTTCAGTCTGCTGTCTAAGGGAATATAAGAAAAAGAAATTCATCGGTGGTTGCTACAGAGAGAGTTCTTAAAAGACATATTCTGTCCTCGAGGCCTTTATATTAATTTTATAACTTGCAGCCAATCTGTTTGGGGTATATCTTGGGAAACAACCCTACAGACTGCCCAAATCAGGTGATTATAAAAGCAGGGAGGAAACACATGAAGGGACTGGAGAGAGCAAAGTCTACATGAAATAAGCCAGGTGTGTGGACGATGCCATTTAATTTTAAAATTCATTTTACTCCGTAAGCTTATAAAAAAATCTATCTCAGCTGGTCGGTCCCCTTTTGAAACATCATTATTGTTATCACTGTTATTATAATTACCCAATTATTATTGATATTACTATCAACAATATCATTAATTCATCAGTTAATATTTCTATTGAGCAAATTCTGGGGGTAGGTACCGTCCAAAATGACATTTTGGAACTTGGGACTTAAAATATAATTTCTCTTCAAATCACAAAACAATGACTATGTGTCTTTGTAGATATTTACATGTATTGACTACTCATCATGGAGAGTGTTTTGTAATTTAAGACCTTTCAATTCCACTGCAATAGTTATTTAGGAGGAAGGCATTCATTTACAATAAACTTTTCTATCCTATTTAGCTGGCATTTTATAGGGCACTTGAACAGCACCTCATCACTTGGCTGCTAGATACCCAAAGAGACAACCAGCAACTTGATATAATTATTACACATGATAATAAACACCTAACACAAACCTCTTGAGACAACTAATATCTGCTTCCATTGCAAATGGGTAATTCTTGATTTTGCCATCTATCTTGGCCTCTGAAAGGGCAAATAAGATCAGTAAATACATAAATTATAACAACAAATCATTATTTAATCTATGAATTGCTTTACACTACTGAATAGAAGAATACAATTTTAATTTCAGGACAAAACCTGAGCTACAAATTAAAGCTTGAATCATTCAAACGAAGAAGATCAGTCTGCAATATAAATGCAACCTTCAAACCAACTTAAACTGACAGTCCTTTCCCTTGACAAACATTTTAGTAATTTACTATCAGATTTTCTACAATCTGCATGTATCTTGAACCATATTCATTTATTGCTCCTTGTGTATTAAGTTAATGGAACGCCAACGCATTTTACCACGTTTACTAGTGCCCTTCAAACTCAATTGTTTGTTCTAGTTAATTTCCTTGCTTGCAATCAAACACCTTCAAAAGATAGAGTTGAGAAACACCTAGAAATTTCACAAACATTTGCAGGCTCATGCACCAAGGCCATAGAAACACTAATGGTACTATGGAAGGGTTTTGAAATTAAAAACTGGACAAGTGGAAACATTTTTTGCTCTGTTTAAGTTGTAGAAAGAACAGATCAGCTCAGAATTGTGGCTGTCCTTTGTCCAGTACACGAAGTAAAACTCTATAGTTTCATCATTGAACACTTAAAATTTTTCTGAAAGAGTTTCTTGGATCACAAAAATACAGATGATGCAGATTGCACCACTTTGTTTGTTGCCACCATACAGAGCATGTATGTTAGGCAGTCTTCTCAGACAGTTGTCTGTTAGGTTTACAAAGTAAACATAAATCATGAAAGAAATGCATGACTGCTATGGCTTTTCAAAAGACATTCTTTTAACTTTCACCATGGTAGTTCCTTTCAAACTGTTGCAATGAATAGTCCATTTCCGAATTACCCTGGCCTCATTTTAAAAACGAGTCCTGGTGCTCACCTTTCATATGATAATAAGTTTCCATTCACATGCAAATTAATCACATTTTCACAAGAATAGTTGAGCACCAGGCCTCGTTTTGAAAAAGAGGCCAACGGTAATTCGGAAATGGGCTATTCAGCTGCTGACGTGTGCATAGGTTTAACAACAGCTCCGTGATAGTTGAATTTGAAACCTAGAAAAAGCCTAGAAAAAGCTTAATCAATCGCAGTGTACAACCAAGAACCATAGGATAAATCATCCACACGCCAGTAATCGACAACACGCGACAAACATGAGCAAAATTTGGACATGCAAGCTTACGTAAGCTTTCAAAGTGAAATTTGATAAGAACACATCATTTGTTGAAAAACTAGGACAGAATCCTTCCATGTATAGATATGGTTTCAACTCATCTATGGCGAGGAGGCAGAATTCTCAAGTCAATGCGCCTACTTAACCCCCACAGTGATGCTTCTAGTATGTTTTAACTAGATGTTAGATCTTACCCACGTACAGCTGCAAGCAAGGAGCAAACGCAAACAGCTGTTCAGATCGTCACAACATCGCTAGTCGTCTTAAGCAATTTTGCAACTCTGCCGGTCACCAAAATCTCCTCAGGTTACTCCACGATGGTAAAGTTTGTTACAGAATTGCAGAGAAAGGGGTTCTGGCGAGAGCATAGTTTTCAAAAAGAGCGCGGACGTGGCCAACGTATGGACAAGCTCCATTTGTACTCAACAGCTGAATGAACGCACAAGGAGTCTGGAGCCGAATGCAGACATCCGTTCCAATTTACAGACAGCGTTTTTTCCATACTGTAATCATAAATTGCCAATCTCTCTTTTTCTTTTATGTAAGTCCAGCGATCGATAAAATAAATAAGTAAATAAAGTATTGTAGTATCGCGCACTGAATAAACTTCTTGTCGTTGACTGATTTTTCGCACGGTGCTGATCGACTTGTTCATTTTTTTTTTCTCTCCCTCGCTTTGGAGAGGGGAACTGCTTGTGACCAAGGAGGGCATCTTTTTTCCAGAAAGAGAAAGACAAAAGCAAGGTGTACAAAACCATGGAACACAGACACACACACACACACACACACACAGGAAAAACTTTGACGATTTGGGAAATGTCTGTAATGGTTTTTTTTTTTCTAAAAAATAATAGATACTTCGATTGAAGTTGAATTTCTCGTGCGATCTTACTCTGTGTTAGTTTAATTTATGGGATATGATACGATCTCGACGATTTTCTGTGGTTTTGATATAGCGAACAATTCTCTGAAGTCTTTTGTCACACGAACCACCAACTGACCGTAGTTTAAACTTTAAAAATAGTTAAAACTTTAAATAATTAAAGTTTTCTCCAATTTAGCATCTGGGGGGATGTAGCTCAGTGGTAGAGCGCGCGCTTTGCATGCGCGAGGTCCGGGGTTCGAAACCCCGCATCTCCATTTTCTTTCTAGAACTTGCTTGATAGTTCTTTTTTCTTTTTTCTTTTTAACTCAAATAAAATTGGTAGACTGGATGAACTTAATGAAAATTAGACTGTTACTGGAAAATTTCCAAAAAAAAAAACCTTACCATACTTTGACAATGATGCTTTATCTTCAATGGCATTACTCGGCGACACATGCTGATATGATGGATGAGTATTATTCATGCTATTTAACTGCGTTTTACTGCAGAAATCAACAGAATGCATATCGATTCGGTGTTACACACTAGTGATACAGTTATGAAAAGGCCCGCTTCACCGCTTCAATAGGGTCGTCGTTAAAATAATCACTTCTCAAGGATTTTTTTATTTCGTTGAAAAATAGGTATAAGATGCGTCGCTCACTCGGATAACGTATTTAAGTAGAATGCGGTAAATGATGTTCTAGACCGACAGGTCAGGCTTTTAACAGTCATTTAATTTTAGTGTTCAAAAGAAGTTTGAATAAAAATGATGTAATTTCTTGACATTTATTTTAGGAACACGATTTTTTCTGCTTAAACTATCAAAATCTCCGTTAAGAAATCTTAGGGACGGTCTGAAACTATACGTGCAACGACCTAGATGTAATTTCCTTCGATCTTCCTTCTCTCATCGAGCGTCTCTTTTATGGAATAACTTACCCATGTACTTAAAGAGCAAACCGAACGTTGTTTCTTTTAAATCTGCTCTTAAAGCCAAATCTGACATTTTAGATAAAATAACATTTGATGGTTTACAGGGAATAAACAAAGACATTGTGAATTACATATATTAATGCTATTTTTTATTATCATTTTCTTTTATTTATTTATTTTAACGCTACAGTCAAATGACTGTTGATTATCTTACTGGTATTATAGTTTTTTTCTTACTCATTGTAAATAATTCTTAAGTTTGTTAACATTAATATTTGAATTGTTGTAGATATATTTAAATTTGTAGGTCCACATCAGCTTTTTAGCTGCCTTCTTGTACTGACCTACATGACAAATAAAGTATGTATGTATGTATGTATATAAAGATAAAATTTAATTATCATTGCGGGTCAACTTCCCACTCCATACTCCCATCTAGAAATGTTAGAAAATGCATTGCTAACACGGATGGATGTATGTTTTTTTCCCGGCACTGCCTCTTGAAGGGGGACCGTATTACACTGATGAATCATGTACGTTAACGTAGTTCTTTCTCCCCGAAAAAACTGACTATCAGGCCCCAAAAATACTTCAAGCGTTAACAGAAGAAATTACCTCAGCAAATAAATTGGAAATACGTTACCTTGTGAACTGCTATAACTCCTTTGAAAAAATTGTCAACAATGCGCAAGTAAACGTTCAAAAAACGTTGTACAACCTATACGTCGCCGTGCAATGGGTTTCCCCCTTTTCTCATCACCAAAAATTGTAGTATTGCAACATTTAGCGGTATCTCCATTGCAGAAAAGATTAATCTAAAAGCATTTAACAGCTATCTCTTGAAGTTAAGTGAATGCACAGCTCCTCAATAACCTCGTTGTCAGGGGGAACAGGTTCACTGAAGAAATATGTTTTGTTCAGTTGACTCAGTAATGTGAAGTTTGTTGGGAATAATTATTCAACTTTTTAATGTAGGTGTTTCAGTCATACTGCGTAAAGTGTGTCAAGGGTTCTAGAGTCTCTTGCAGCTTAGCACTATGGACCATACAAAGTATTTATGAGAACTCCATCGTAAGTTCGGTTCCTCTCGGAAGAGCTCGGGTAGTTCCGAGAAGAACGGTGTCTGCATTACCTCAATTATTAATATGATTTTTCCTGTTACGGCTAGAGCCATTTTCGACGAGGCGTTAGCCCTTTGACGGAGGGCTAACGCTTGAAACGTCGGCTTTGAAACTCTTTATGGCGGCCAATTTAATGATTATCAACTCAGTTGATAAAACCCAAATTACCATGTTATTCCCACCGACGCAGCACCACAGATTTTTTAGAAACTTACCCCCTTTTTTTTAATTCCTTTTCGATTTAGTGTCGCAAAAACCAAAACTCGCAGAGCCACTCAGAAGACGGGGAAATACTTTAGAGAGCCAATAAAAAACAAGGCCGTGAAAACAGACACACTTCCCATAGAGGGGGAAAATGCGGGTGACTATGTCGCCTTTAAATTGGTTTCAGTTTTAATCTGGTTGGTCAAGAAAGCGGCGAAAAACGTGAGCCTGTCTTATAGATAAGTTTTCCAACAATTGGTAGATTCACACCAAACAGTTCCGTTAGATCATTCGCCCTCATTTGGCATAGAAATCTCTAGCTCATAATATAAAGACTGATTAACCTAGTTACAGCTGGAACCGTAACGCAGAAGGTTTTCGCTCTTTGATCTAGTTTCACTAGAAGCTTCCTTCTCCCCTTATCTTTCCACGTCTAATCCTTAGCCCATACCTTTGATTTGATTTCTTCATTATATAAACACAAAACAGCCTACATAAAACATAAAATTATATTTATTGTAATTCATAGAATTTTACATACATAATACATACTTATATAAATTTTGTTTATAACGCATGTTTTGGCACCAGCTTCTATATATAAATAGTTTGTACATGATTGGTAACCAGTCATGAGGTCGCAAGAGTCGAATTATAAATAATATAAACGCTAGCCAAGAAAATACTGTTAATTTTGCCATAAGTTTCAAAATACATCCTATTAGATAATAAGTTCAATTAAGGAAAACTTTGCAAAGAGTGAGAGTACGGTGACAAGACAGAAAATTCAGGGAATTCAAAACCTTGTGATAACATTTCAAGCACTCGCACGTCAATTACAGAAATAATATGGACCTTTACTCGTTGGTCTTCGTCGTCACTTTTAACAACCGCTTACACAGATTACTTCAAGTACAACCCCACCCCTACCCCCAGATTACTACATCTACGACCCCACCCCTACCCCCACCTCAAGATGATATTCATGAATCTTTACACAGTTTGCGACTCAAAATTTAAGGATTTGATATGAAATCCAGAGCTAGGAGAGGGGAAGCCAGAGACCTTATCCAAACAACCATAGGGTAGTAAAAAGTGAAATAATTATTTTAACACAAATTAATTTGTAAAGTGAAAAACAAACAGCTTTAGAAGACAAGAAAGAGTCAGTTACAGTGTGCGTCACGTATGTAACTTCCTCAAACCTATCATTCGGCAACGCAATCTACAAGTTAGTCAATATGAACTACTTATACGATACACAGTATCGTGAGTTATCTGAAAAGACATTGGAAAAATGCAGGATCTAATAAATTACGTGAAGAGAATTTTATTCTCTTCAAATAAATGTATAGTACATTAATATATAAATAAATATGACACTTCAATGCTTCAAATGCGTTGTTTACAAATTCATACTTTATAATGTTCCGTATCTTACAATTAAAAAAAATTACCCTCTTGGAAGGTATTCACGTGTTCTCATAACTTAGTGTGTTAAATAACCCTTCTTAAATACATTATATAAATACTTAATCCTGAAATAAATTAAATTTTCTCAGCGATAATTTTTTAAGGAATTGAGCTGAGTGAAAAATACGGCACAAATCGCGCTGCCTTCTGGGAATATGTCGTGTTATGCGGTTGTTTTACTTTACCATTTCGTTTAAAACCAAGATACCAAGTTGAGTTTCTTATTGATCGAAATGTTCTGTACCCTGAGTGTGTGTCCTCTGTGAATAAACAATGTTTGAATGTATTTCCATGCACCTATAGACAAACGAACAGAAAAAAGATAAGGTTAGTTAGAAATCGAGAAAAAATTGTGGACCGATCTCAGGTAGGGGCCTCTAATATACCCCCACTAAATTTCCTCAGCCACACTCCAGTCCGCTCTGTGATTGGTCAGTTTTTTAACCAATCAGATTCGTATATAAACCAACAGCAATTGCGGTAACGTTTGTGAATATATAAAAATCATATATGAACTGCGATTAAAGAACGAGTATGAGAGCGATCTTTGTTTTAACCAACACCACTTAAACAATAGTGAAAATAAGGCCTGAAAAAATTCAGGCCTGTAAGCTAAGGGATTCGAACCCATGACCTCTGCGCAACCGATGAAGTGCTCTACCAACTGAGCTAACAAGCCAACTGGGAACTAGTCATTATGGTGGTTCGTAATAAACCCGTGAAGTGATGAGTCAACGTCTGTGAATATATGAAAATCATATGTGAACTGCGGTTAAAGAACGCATCGCTTGATCTTTTCTGCGTGTGAACCCCGCAGTTTGCGTTCTTTTTTTTCAAATCTGATTGGATCCAAGTAACATTGACCACTGAACTTAAAAGCCGCCGTGAAATCTTTACTTTTGGTGTGAAGACAACCGATCAAAAACCGCTATAGAAGTTCGCGTGATAAGATGCGCAAGGAAAAAAAAAAAAAAAGGAAAAGAAAAGAAAACTACTTACTTCTACTGTGAGGTCTCCGGCGTCGTTGACACAGAGATAAGAATTTTCTGTCACGGATCGTATTCTTACGAAGACAGAACCGTTATAAAGTTGGGATTCCAACTGTAGCTTAGCTAAGACGGAAAGAAAAAAAATTACATTAAAATCCTGATTTACCTTTAAAAAAGATTTAATGAAGCCTCAAGATCTCATAGGAAGAAACCGGTACAGGGCCACGGGTCAACAATCCTCAGTAAGGTCTCTTTTACTGGAAAGAATGGCATTTCTCTATTCTCGCTGACGAAGGGCTGACGCTCGAAACTTCAGCCTTGCAACTGTCTACAGTGGCCAAATTAAACATTCTCCTCAGTTGATAAAACCAAATTATCCTATAATCCAGTAGCGGTTGGTGAGCCTCTGGCCAGTCACCAACTACGATTTACACACCGTATGATACAAAACAGTCGTTATTTTATGGGGCAGGTTCGAGGTTCTTTTTGGGCGTAATGTATTGGATCGCGGATGAGCTTTAATCTGTTTTAAAATAATCTGCCATTACTAAAACTTCCTGAGCCGACGGAAGTAGGTACACAAAGAACAAAACGGCGATTAGCTCTGACTTGAAGAAAGCGCCACGGCAACGCTAAGCTAACAATGTCGTAAACACTCTCGAGACCTTGAAAACATCTTTCTGCGGCATGAAGATCTCCCCGTAAAAGGATGTAAATATTGTGTTTGTGGAAGGGTGTTCTGAAATTTCCCTCTCCCACGTTTGTGCCCAAAAATTCCTTAGATTCCAAACATATTGGACCCTTGTACACAACAACACGAACAAGGCTTTCGTCTGTCTTTTAGAGGTGCGGACGTTTATTCAGTCATTAAGGTGCTGAAAACACCCACAAGTGCTCAGGATTGGTAACTTTCAATACTGTTAATTCAATCAGACTCGCGTTAAGAAAACTGTACAAAAAGAGAATGGGAAAAACTAGGATATAAAATATGATACTTTCCAGTTGTGCTGACGATCATTCTTGTGTTTATATATGGATGATCTTGTTTATAAACAGTAGTTGTAAAACTGATTTGAACAGTTAATGTTTTTTCGATTATTCTACTCAAAGACCCCAAAATGAACACAAACCCACTTTTCTGAGCGTAAAGTTTTTTCTCTCGGAATAAAGGAAGCTGTGCCTTTTGTGGAAAGAGAGTGTTGTGATATTTCGTAGTAACGACTTAAATGGATAAATCAATTTTCTTCGGTTTAGTTTTGGGCCAATCTTTGCCGCCGTTAATTCATTCTTTTCATTTGCACATTTGTCGGCAAAATTCATTCAGACAGCACAGATGTACTCGCCGCTGTTGGCGGGAAAAATGTCTATTGATCTTTGCGGCAGGTCAGAAAAACCGCCACTTGAACTCTTGTTTCTCTGTCTGTTTAATACGGATTTAATGGCAATATTAGAAATCTTCACTGTCTCCCTGAGGGTCCACTTGAATTTGCAATGTTAAGGTGCTTACCAAATGCGGCGCTTCCAGACAAATTTTAACGCATATTCTATTATGGCTGAATGCGTTTTTGTATCAATTTGTGAACAGCAGCCACAACAAGTGTCAGTTTTGTAAGCCATTAAAGAGCAACTTTTATCGGCTTCTTACTTTGAAGTTACGCTATGTACAACGGTATTTTGTCACCCGAAAGAATAGTGAAACTTTTCCAAAACAAAACAAAGCAATCTTTACCACAATATATCTCGACGATAATCCGATTGTAAAGTTTAATTGCACCGAATCAATGTGGTGTATGAATAAAGTTCGTGTTGTGGGCTTTAAAGCGCATTTATCAAAACCGCTTGGGTGGTCTAATCTCACTAAGAGAGGATAGTTTATGGCATAAAATGCCTGATATGGTATTTTTAGATTCAATTAAAAAACAAATACTTACCACTTTCGTCTGTTTTGACTCCATTACCGTCCACCGAAGTCCCTTTAACTCTAACTAAGCTCCGTGAATTCCTGGACATTATCCAGACATAACGCGCTACTGAAATCCCTGACTCCGAATTCTGAAACAAAAAGCCAGTAGATTAGCTCGATAGAGAGCTACAATGTCCACCATTACATAACTGTTTATTTTTCATTGTTGTTGATGAATTGCCCAGACAATACAGATCATAACTGCAAAATTAGCCTCCGCGACGTTTGAGTAGCTCTATAGACGCATCACGAATTGTTATTTTCTGATTGGAAAGGAAGCATTCATATTTCCTTTCATTTATAATATCTTAAGTCTATTTTGAACTCAGGGGTAAGTACAGTTATATTTTTCTAAGGGTTTGAGAAGTAAAGATGAGCTTCAAACAGAAGTTTATTTGCGTGACCACGTGCATTGGGTAAAACCCCGTGTCAAGAGTCCAACTGACGTAATCTTTGAACAACAAACAAATTTAGCTCTTTGAAAAGTCCCCTAAGTTACATTATTGTATTTTGTACTTACCGAAAGAGCTTTTATCAGCGGAGATGCCAAACCTCTGTGAAGAAAAATTTGAATGAAAAGGAACAGTTTAATACGTTTAAGATAAAATATTAGCGAATAATCGGGAAATCAAAAAGGTGAGTTATAAAACAAATAATCGAAATCGTTAAGAAGATTTGTTGAATACAACAAATCATAAGGCCACGTGCACCGTAAAATTATCAAAATTAAAACATAGAATCTTTTTTTCAAACTTCTGCTACTCACTTTGTGAAAATAAGCACGGCCAGGGTTGACCAGAATAGAACTGTCATGTTGTGCTTCATGGTTCTTCGTCCTCTGAAGTGGATATTCGTTATGTTGTCGATGAAGTTTACACGGTCGACAAACCTGATGTCTGCTCTAAAGTGACTTTTGATCTGTTCTGCTACTTACGGTTGAATGATTCTGTTCATTAAAACTCACAATTATATAAACCTATAAAACCGCAGACATTTAGTCCGGAATCACTCCACCCAAACTGACAACAACGGTGTTTCCTTCGACGAAGCGGAAAAAACCCCGTTGAAAGCGATGTCACGTTGGCATAATTGCTTGTCTTGTCAGCAAAGTGAGGGCTTGTCTCAATTTGTTTAGCCGTTGCTTGACAGAAATCTTCTCGCGCATCGTGGAAATAAAGATCATATTAGATCAACTACGAATGTTGACGTTGTCAGCAGTTAGCGAATCATGTTCTGCATTTTAAGGATAATTTGTTGCTTTTATGGTCGGTGTGTTTATTTTGACGACACATATTGTTCGGCTGTTTTCAATTCTGTACGTTTCCGCAATTTTTACATGAATCAGCAGGGAAAGGACCAAAGGTGATGTCATAAGTAAATTCATACTCTCATGTAAAGAACAAATCATAGAGGAACTTTAAAACCATTGCGGACTAAGCGATGTGATGTAGGATGTCGGAAGTGACGAGAAACTACGAGTAAATTCTATGCCCTTATCTTTAGACGATCCCCCGACCTTCCGGTAACCCCTGCTCAAAAAAATAGAACTGGCAAATTCTGATCTTCAAGACAGGATCAAACCATTCTACATTTCAAGAAAGACATATTTACTGAGAAGAAAACGACGTCATAGAGTTTCGTATATTGGTACATTGTTATATTTTGGTTTAATCGCGTCATTGCGGACGACTGTCTGAAAGGAACTCTTTCACAAGATGCTTCCGAGAACCGCGTCACGCAAGTTATTAAGTGTCATCAAAAAAGAATCTAACATGGAAGGAAGATTGTAAATGGTTCTTAAGCTACGAAAGATCTCAGAAACCATAGTTATTCATTAAACATTCGAGAAAAAGTTACTTCTTCTGATTAGTAATTTCACACAAATTTTTGTGAGATTTATTGTTTCTGAGACCAACCGTAGAATTTTCATTTCAGCTCTGGGTTGATGTCGTTATATTTTTAGTATAAACTGGATTTCGTTTAGAGATGGTATAAAAATACATTTTTATTGTAATCTGTAAACTGTGGGGTTGGGCAGTGCCGTTACAAATTTAGAACGAGTTCTTGGGCCGCGACATTTCCACAAATCGGGAAAATCCTGAATTTTAGTTATTTGTTTTTTCTATTATCCGGCGTGTTTAGCTAATTCTTTAAGATACATATATAGTAGCGGAAACAAACCAACGATAAAAATGTTAAAAACGTACTTTAATTGATATACAGATAAATAAAATCCTTTGTGGAGGCGTGATAAGTAAATTCTCTATGTTTTACGTTTACAATTTAGCGCGGGAACAAATATACACAAAGTTGGTGTATTGGACCCGTCACGCAAACCACTAAGTTGGGCAACGGAGGGCATCGAAATGCACACGGGTGAAGGTGACTGTCAAAGGATTGCCTGTCATGAAACAATCAACTCAAGTGTATAGATAGGATTCAGGGCTGATAATGATTCAAATACAACGGAAATTAGGCGACATTAAGGACGAAATCGCATAATCCTCAATGAAGGGCAGGAGTCGCAAATCCGGCCGATTAGTAAAACAACTCAGCGAGCTCACAGAGGGTCACATAGTAAAGTATGAAATCACGTACGTGAAATGTGCCAAATCTATTTCCTCACGTAAATATAAAATATTCGTCTCAAGTTTCAGTTTGAGTTGTTTTATCCTAGTTTTTGGTAAAATCACCTATGATGTTGTATTTAATAAATATATTGCCAAAACATAAGTTATTCCAGGCTCTGTGTTTCCATTTTAAGAGAAAAGCGGAACCTTTCCGGTATTTTTAACACGAGCACTAACTTACAGAGAGTTCCTCGTCTTTTTCAGCAGTGATATGCTCTGATAGCTGTATTTCAGTATAACGCTTAATACTTCCGTTTCATGAAAAGTTCAATTGTTTTCTCTAGAATGCTTGTATCCAGACAAACGCTTCTATCGCCACCTTAAAGCATCGGTGAGTTGGTGTTATACCTTTTATAGGAACAGTTTTCATTCTGAATACCGAATAAGGACGTCATAACATCGTAACTAAACAAGGTACAAGAACAAATTTGCGCCAACTTGAATGCGTTCCAAATTCATGTGGTGTTGTGTACATGCAGCTGGGCCCCAGATTGCCATCACATATTTTTCCCTTGCAAATCGAGATCGCATTTGCCTAAAAGAAACTGTACATCCCACCCCTTAAAAAAAAGGAACTGAAGTATGGTCACGGAAATTGTAGCCGAACCAGTAATAAAGTTGAAAACTTTTCTTCGTCAACAAAGCTTTCCGAAGAGAATGTTAACTTAACAATAAAAGCTCAATCAAAGAACGAAGAGTGACTTAATAGAACTGGACATGGTTAGATATATTAGAGGTGAAGGAAGGGAAGAGAAAACGACGACATTGTCAACGGGCTTAATATTACGACCTTATGCTAATTTATGGTTAATATTTCTAGAATTGTCGAGAAAACCATTAAGATTTGATTCCTTTCAATTGCTACAATACCTCTGCCCCTACCATCACCGAGGTTTCTCTTTTTCCCTTCTTTTTTTTTTTTTTTGACGTGTAAGGCTCGGGAACGCATGATTTCGCATGAAATACTAGCAGCCATCTGAATCCGTGATTCCTCTACCTGGGGGCAAAAATAAAACAGCATGATGTTTTTTTAATCGAGTTCAATGTGACAACGAACGTATATACCTTCCTTTCTTTATCAGTAAAGGAATGTATTACATTTTATAGACGTTTCAAAGTTCCTGTTATTGCAATTTAGTTTTCTTTGTTCCATTTGTCAGCACTTTATTGTCGTCAATTGTGAATGAACGATATGGATTAAAGATGACGGAACTAGATGAAAATTTGTGTCAAAACTAAAGAGGATTTTGTCTATTTAGCCTTTAACAGTTAGGTTTAGAAGCTATTTTGTCTGAAAATTAATTAATAGAACTTTCCAAGTTCTCAGAAAAGTTTCCAACTTTTTAGCAACAACTGCAGACTTCTGCAGAAAAATACATCCATTTTATACCCATATATTTTCCCCGGCTGACCAATATTTTGCTTCTTATTTAATGCAATTGTAAGGGAGCTACTCTGAAATTACTCATGGTATGGAAGCCTAACGTGCAGCTCGCATGTCCCTTAATCGCCAAAGGCTTCTAGAAAGAAGCGATCAAAGTCTACAACAGTACTGGAACAAACCAGTCGACCGGCTGAAATTCCATCCAAGCAGTCTACGTGTTTTGCTTTTTTGACTCTTTGCCAGGTTAGATGCGGAAAAATGCGCACTTTTATTGTTTCATTGGTTGTAGTAAGGAACATTTAGAGTCTACAAATTGAAATAGCGTGATTTGTACTACTATATCGTGGGCAACAAGCCAATTATTACAGACGTATTGTGACGATGATTGTGAGATAATTGTCGATAAATCAATCGTGTTTGCACAACTGCGTAACTTATGTAAAGGAAGGATGTGACATTAAGAAAAATAAAGGTATAAATTCCGTCAGTCTAAGCAATTGTTTCCAGGGGCTATGATAGCATTAGTTTACTAATTACAAACAGAAGGTTATTCCACTGAATTATTATCCGATTTTCCGAGGCAGCGAACAGGATTCGCGTAAACAACCTGTGAATAACATTTTTTGATAAGTACTATGACGACAAGGATGTTTGTCTGAATTCCTCCATATCTTATATATTTGTTTGGTTTGAAATTTAGAGCAGATATATGTAAGAAAATCCCAATTTCTTTGCTTATTATTCCCGGCAGGCTTGGAAAATTCAGACATGATTTAATTTCCTTATGCTTTTATATTACAATTGAATGAAAGTTGAGATTGTTCAGCGTGAGGCGTCGAATATATCCACTCTCCTTTCGTGATTTTTCGCGCTGTTTTTGTAGTCCATGTCTGATGTAACCCAGACGGGAAATGACGGCGCCAGTACATTCAGACAAACGTCGTTTAGAAAGGAAATATCAAGTCTGTTCACCTTTGTTCACTCAGCAGGTCTCGAATAATTCTGCCTGCAAAATTTACTGCAAGTTAAATACTTCTTCGGTTCTCAAAACAGCATGAAAGCATCGTCGTCAGCGGGTGACCGGAACACTTAAGGCAAGGATAAAACACCAATAGCTCGGTCATCAATCAAAACATTCACTATTGATGTGAAAAATGACACATGATTAAATGTACTTTATCAAAGTCCGTACATCCGTAAGTTTGTAACTGATGCTCGGCTGGTTTTCTGACTTGTTTTTCTGAAGACCGCGAGACTCAATGCTGTACTGAAGAGTTGTTGACCCAGTTAATTCTTCAAACCTCACTGAGTGGAATCCGTCAAAGTGCTGAGTTATAAAATGTCTTTAGGAAGCATATTCACTAATTTCACTAAAAGCAAAAGAGATACTTATTGCAATAAATTACAACAACAATGCAGTTATGATGAACAATCTTTGATTGGAGGATATCTTGTGTGTTCTACAAGCTCCGATATATCCTGAACAACTTGAGCGCAGTGGGTGATATCGAAACGCCTTTTAAGTTTTGTTCACAGCTCTTCGATCCCTTTCTCTGACTTCCTACAGTACCGTGAATCGTGACATAATCACCTGAAAAGTTTAGCCTCTTTGTTTCATTTCTTTTTTGTGTTTTTGGCCCTTTTACTTCATTTCTAACACGTGTTTCTTTTATGTTAGATTTTCTTTTCGAAATCTGACTAAGTTAAGGTGGTTTATTGTTTATTTCCACCATGGGTATCTCATGATTTTGTCGCATCTTTTACAATTCCTGCTCACTTGGAATTCTGCTCAGAAGAATGTTGACTCCAGTCGTTTGCTGACTCATCAATCGTAACTCAGCAAACATTTTTGAGAAGTCTTAACGACGTAAAAACATGCCATTATCGTCAAGGAACTTGATAATTAAAAACCAATTATTAACGCTTAATTTTCCCAATTTGCGAACCTAGACATAAATTGAATGGCATTTACATGAGATTACTAGTTTCACTTCCTCAGAAATTTGAAGTGAGGACAAAATAATGACCGGCTTCAAAAGGAAGTCACCATATCTAGAAAGGAACACCAGTCACTTTGAGTGAATTAAGCCTCTTCCCGTCTGAGTAACTTATGATTCGCTATTTTACGTCTCTCAGTCATCCTTCAAACCTGACCACACCAGCTTAAGTTGAGGAAGTTGTGGGAAAAAGGGGCGGGTCCGGCGGTAAGGGTGCTCTCCTCCCATAGGCCGGGTTCCATTCCCGGACTTCGCTTCACATATGGGTTGAGTTTGTTGTTGTTTGTTGTCTCACACCGAGGAATTTTCTCGTTTAGGTTCTCGAGTTAACCTCTATCCAGAAAAACCAATACTCCCAGTTTTAATGCTACTTCATGGAGGAAATACTGCAAAATCCACAAGATAGTCATCGTCGAACCAAATTATGTCACATTGTCATTAAAAAAAATCTGTGTTAGTGTCTCGAGAATAAATGTTTCGTTTTTACCTGACTGCCAATTTTTTTTTCTACTTGGCTGAATTTTGCCATTGGCAAAGCCATTAGTTTTCCATTTGTTTTACAAATAAATTGTTCATTGCCTGGTAGTTATAGTTCGATGTTTCTCGGCCGTTATCATTTGATCTCAAACAATGTGTTTGATTACATTTTCGCTTACTGATCTGATCAGACAAAAATACTCTTTATTGAAGCTCATCTTTAATAAGTAGAAAGAAACAATGCGATCACTTTTGCGTGGTTCTCTATTTTTACTTATTCTACCAAGTGTTTACATCTTTAAATAGAATCTGAGCGGTATCTATAGGCAATCATTATCTATATAAGTACTTTTACCTTCTTGTCGTTCACTCAAGCACTGTGCAGATATAATAATTTTTAATTACCTAGCCGCCAACACATGACCACAGTCATGACTTACTCAACAAATTCTAGAATTAGGTGGACTTGATTCTCGTCTGCAAAGAAAGAAAATTAACTGATGGAGATTTTTTCCGCCAGGCGTTTACGTTAACCGGCATTCTTCGTATTGGTCTCCTTTAGTAGCTTAAACTATGTCTGACTTGTTAATTTTGGCCGGAATGACGTCTCAGATCCGAAAAGATATGATTTAAAGATAAGAGTATTTTGGAGTACTGTCCTAATATAATCAGAAGTATGCATCACAATGCTACACTTAGTTAGCGGATTAGATGGTCTTCCGCTGAGAAACAAAATCAAAAAAGAAACTATGTTTCGTGCAGAGCTAATTACGAACACCGGAACCGCTTCCACCCGCGCCTGGCCGCAAAATAAGAGCTTTGTAAACTACACCAATTAACACCACTTAAAAAATAGTATTCCTCGTGAAATGCGCTACAAGGAAAAGACAGATGATTGATGGCAACCGATTTCGTAGTTTGCGGGTGTTGAAATCCACCCAGGGGTAGAAAATATTTCTGGTAAAAACTACAATCTTTGCAATATAGGCACGAAAATATAAAACTAGCCAAATTACCCCCTCCTTAGGTGAAAAATGCTCGAATTACCCGATTACCAATATTCGGAATTAAGTATCTACTGTTTTGACTCGAAGTATCAGTTAGATTTTTCTCTGTATTGCCGTTTGCCTGTTGGAGCTCAGATCAGGGAGTCTATACCTGTATGTATTTGCTCAATCGATCGTTTTATAAAAAATGGTTAAATAAGCACTGAAGTATGAAACGGCTTATGGTAAAAGCAAAGTAATTAAACCTTGAACAAAACCACGAACTATCTGCTATAACCTTTTAAGGTTAACACCTCAAAAGTTGTGGGTAACAAACTGGTTGGTATATCACGACGTGACATACTTTTAGTCTGCACTTCATAACTTCCCGTCGAGTTGTTCACCAGATAATAGAAATTTTAACCGCGGGAATGGGGAGTAGCAATATCAAGGTCTGTTATGAACGCTGGAACGTCACGAGCGCATGATATTGTTTCGAAATCGAGTGCAACATGAAATTTCGTGATCAAGATTACCACAAAGTCAGTTTCGCCAACTCGTCGCGTTACAGTGGGAACCATGCATGGTTAGAAGTATGAAAAATATCTTTCATTTTCGTCTTCAGTTTATCGACATCTCAGCAATTTCTGTGCCGAAAACAAACTAGCTAGAAAACATTAAAAGATTAACGACAAAGAATCAACAAATGAACAATGAAATGATGCTCATTTGACTACCCTTGTTAGAATTAAAAGGAAAACATAATTTCCACTGAACAATAAAATCAAGACATCAGACAGTCCTTTAATAAACAAATCTTTTTCGATAAACAATTTTTTCTTAATGAACTGTCATGAAAACTACATTCCTATGACTAATCAAACTCTGCCGATTTTATTTTCAGAGAGATCCTGAGAGATTTCTTATAATTTAACAACATAAGTTTTGAAAGCATTCTTCAGAAAAGAAGAACAGACTGTAGAAAGACCCAACAATGCGATGCAGTGCCGTTCGGCTTCAGTGGTCATAAAGAGAACCTAACTTGGCCGTGAATTTTGGCTATATTCAGGGAAATAGATTCGCAACCTGGTGTTAACCGTTACCCAGATCACTGCTCGTTTTTCTTGTCTCTTTTGCTTTATAAAAAGTTTATAGAAAACAGCTTAAAAATGACTAGAAGTGAGGTGTGTGGTTTCCTCCGCTACTAAGGTAATCGAATAACACTTAGAAAAAAAATTGGAAAATTGATTTCCTTTTACGAATGATGACCCTATGATAAACTCGCCTTTTTCACTTTCGTCACCTGAGAGGAATTTCGGATTACACCTTAACTAGAAACCGAAAATTATGCTAAACGTAACCTAGAAAGATAATTGACATTGTCTCCGAAAACATTCGAAAAAGGATGGGCGACTCGAACAAAAAAAAACTTATTACATAATAAAAACGTAACACGTCAGGAATAACATTTCAATCATTTGTCTAAGTTTCCTGGTAGATGTTTTGGTTTCCCATTCCGAGGTCTTGCAGTCAGAGAGTTGGGCTGGTCAGAGAGGAAGTAAAAATGGCGTTTGTACCGAATAAGGCAAGTAAATAGCAGCCCTTCTTGGGCTGAGGAATGAGGAAAGTCGTACTACAAGAAAACACGACATCCTTACATTTTTTTTCTTAAAAAAGGTTTAAGTTATATATTACTGTGGTAACACACTTTCAATTTATTCGCTTTGCTTCCTTTACAGTCAAACGCTGTTCGTTCGTTGATTGTAAGGCAGTTTTATTTGTTACGTGACCAAACTAACTGCAAGAACAGACTCGCACAGGCCGAAAAAAATACGTCACTTACTCTCTGGACTCTCAAAATCTTGAAAAGAGAAAACCGCATTCAAGACGGGAAACCATAACATTTGTTTTGTTTCGTTAAGGAGGACTCAATCCTAAAATTCCAAACACCCCGGCCCCGCGCCCACCTTCCCACTGAGTTCTCGAACGTTCCAGACCACCAGAATACGCGGCCAAGATGGCCGCCCGCTTGTTATCCAGGCTCAGTAACTTTTCAATAGTTCCAGGTTCGGGATTGTAAAAAGCTTAGATCACCCTGACTTTGTTTATGTATTCAGATTTGTGCAATTCGATTCGTAACCGGCTGGCTGCTTTGAGTTCGACGTGATATAATTTTTAAAAAAGGATTAACAAATTTCTTGTTCCCTTGTTTTGTTGTAGTTCGTGGGAGTAAGTGTAGATGTAATAGGTTTATGTCCTCCGCCATGCACCTTGGGGATACCAGTTTGCAAGAACATCTCATTAAGAGGATCAAGGTATTAATGGTTGGTTTGGTAATTACGCCTTTGAGAGCGAAATGTGCGTTAGTCATAGGGAGGATCGAAATTTCGAACATGCCATTGAAAATGTGCCTGTCATGAGGATGGGGTGGGGTGGGGCGGGGGGAGGAGTGCTTAAGAAAAATGGAATAACCTACATCATGATTCCAAACTAGTGTTAGACATTAAACCATGCATTATGTGTGTGGAAAATTATCTATTTTTAACATAACAGGGACTCTCCTGTTTGATTACAAGCTCATATAATTTGAATTGAAAAGAGTAAAAGGGTATTTATTTCTATTCATTATTTTGTTCATAACTTTTGTGGCCCTAAAAAGACACATTTTAAAGTGAATAAATGTGAATAGCAATCATACAAAAGTGAATAATGATATCGATGGAATGTTTTAGGGAAGACAGGTGGTACTACTAATATAGCTGATTAATGTTGAACAAAGCCTGTACTATGAAGAGGAGAAAGGTTTATACAGGAG